GGTCCTGTGCCAACCTCACAATCGTTACTACACTTAAGCCCATTGCTTCTGCCGCTGTACCAATCCATCTCATTGAAGGTTTTCCTCTTTTTTACTGACCCGCCACTTAAACAAGCATGATGTTTTTCTCCAGGGAATGGTCCGCCTCCATAATGTGTCTAAAGTATGAGAGACAACGTCTGGTCATCATTCTGGCTTCTAAGGAGCATTCCAAAATAGAATTTAGACTCTTCCAGGAACAACAACAACAAAGCAGTGAGATGCTTGATACCATGTTAAAGATAAAAGATCTAATGCCATTAACTTCATTTATGTTATGTTTATTATGTATAATAAACACAAACCATATATAACGTTAAGAATACATTTAACCATGGCAAGAAAACGATATACGATGGGATCAATGTAAAGCTAATGTCCTCCCATGTAAACTATCACATAATTCACAATAAAACATTAAACATTAATGACCAAAGACAAGAAGAGTTGTGAGATGACATTAAAGATAAAGTTAAATATTATAGTGAAATGTGCAAAGATCTGGAGTTAAAAAAACAAAAGGGGAGAACATGCTCAGCATTTCTCAAGCCGAAAGAACTAAGGGAAAAAATTGAAGATTCAACTTTTAATACTAAAGGATTTTTTTGACAAAATATTGAATTGATGCAGGAAGCATCAAAAGAAGATGGAAAGAATACACAGAGTCATTGTACCAAAAAGATGTACAATACTCATCCTTTTCAAGAGATAGCATATGATCAAGAGCCCGTGGTAGGTACTTAAGGAAGATTTCCAAGGTGCTCTAAGCATTGGCAAAGAACAAGGCTCTGGGAATTGATGGAATACAAATTGAAATCTTTCAACAAACTGAGGCAACGCTGGAGGCACTCACTTACTCAGTTATGCCAAGAAATTTGAAGGACAGCTACCTGGCCAACTGACTGGAAGAAATCCTTATTTCCCCCTATTCATAAGAGTGGTGACCCAATACAATGCGGAAATCATCAGACAATATCATTCATGTCACATGCAAATAAAATTTTGCTAATGATAATTCAAAAATGGCTGAATAGTACACTGACAGATGAAATAGAACAAGGGATATCACTGCTGGTGTCAGATGAATCTTGGTTGAGAGCAGAGAATCCCAGAAGGATGTTTACCTGTGCTTTATTGGCTTTTGACTGTGTGGATCATGACATGCTATGGGCAACATTATAGAGAATGAGTATTCTGAAGCCTGTGGTTTGACTCATGAGGAACCTGTATGTTGACCAAGAGTCAGTCAGTAGTTCAAACAGAACAAGGGGATACTGAACGGTTTAGTGTCTTGAAAGGTGTGCACCCACAGTTGTATTCTTTCACCATATATATTCAGTCTATGCTTAGCAAATAAGATGCTGGATTACATAAAGAAGAATGTGACATCAGGATTGGAGGAAGACTCATTAACAGCCTGATATGCAGATGATACAGCCTTGCTTGCTGAAAGCTAAGAGGATTTAAAATGCTTAGTGATGAAGATCAAAGACTACAGCCTTCAGTATGGGTTGCACTGAAATGTAAAGAAAACAAAAATCCTCACCACTGGACTAATAGATAATATCATGACAAATGGAGAAAAATTGGAAGTTGTCAGGCTTCATTTTGCTTAGATCCACCATCAATAGTCATGGAAGCAGTGATCAGTAAATCAGATGATATGTATTGCATTGGGTAAATCTGCTACACAAAACCTCTTTAAAGTGTTCAAGAGCAAACGTGTCAGCTTGAGGATTATTGTGGGCCTAATTCTGGTAGCGTAGTGGTTACGAATTGGGCTGCGAACCTTAAGGTCAGCAGTTTGAAACTACCAGCTGCTCCTTGGGAGAAAGATGAGGCTTTCTGCTCCCGTAAAGATTTATAGCCTCAGAAACCCTATACAGGGTCGCTATGGGTTGGAACTGACTCCACAGCACATAACAACAACAACTTAAGAATTCATGCATTTGAGTTATAGTATTAGAGGAGAATATTAAAAGTACCATGGATTGCTAGAAGAACAAACACATCTTCATTTGAAGAAATAAAACCAGAAGGCTCTTTGGAAGCCAGAATGACAAGACTTTGTCTCTCATACTTCGGACATATTGTCAGGAGGGACCAGTCCCTGGAGAAAGGACATTGTACTTGGTAAAGTGGAGGGTCAGGTAAAAGAGAAATTCCCTCAACAAGATGAATTGGTACAGTGGCAGTAGCAGTGGGCTCAAGGATGGTGCAGGGTCAGGCAGTGTTCATTCTATGGTGTCAACTTGATGGCACCTAACAACAACATAGTAAGGAGGGTTTAGGTCTGATTTGGTTTGGTTTGGTTTTGCTTTAGGGTGATAGTATGTTTGTCTTAGCTTTTTATTTACTTAACCGATGAATTTTTTTTCCATAAAAATAAACAGTAAAGTCTTTTTTGAGAAGGCCTTTTGTATATGAACCTAGGATTTATGGGCTTAAGGATAGTTTTGTCTTTTATATGTAGCTTGGTCATTCAGGGTTGCCAAGGTTGGAAACCCCTCTAGGGTGCCCTAATGAAAGGCTATCTTAGGCATTGCTTAGTTCTGGGAACTCAACCTCCTGCCAAATATAACCTCTCAATAGGCCACGTTCAGGACTCCAAACATTGGGAAAACTTGTAGTGAATGCTTCCCAAATATTTGTTCTCTTGAATTTAGCAGATACCGTGTACCAGGCATAAGGTTCACATACTAAGTAGATACACAGAGAAGAAGCAGTAATACAGAGAGGGAGGGAATGTAGTAATTTAATTGTTCTTTTAAGTTTTTGATATAGAGATCATGGCTTTAGCCTTCTCTGCCAATATTACTCCCTTATTCTTGGACTTGAAAATAAGATCTTTTTATTGGTATGGAAGCCATGTGCTATTATATATCATAGACCACAGTTTTGGCTTTTGTGTATGTTTTGCTTTTTAAGTAAAATTCGTCTGTACCACTCCGCTATGCTGGTCCAAGGATCATTGATCTTAGCAGTTTTAAATAAGTGGTTTGGACTTTTTTGAGTTGCTGTCAATACAATGGACTGCAGGCATAAGACATGGTCAGAGTTGGCAGTTGTTGTGATTGCTATGGAGTCAGTTCTGACTCACAGCGACCCTGCATAGGGTTTCTGAGGCTGTAAATCTTTACAGGAGAAGAAAGCCTCATCTTTCTCCAGTGAAAGAACTGGTAGTTTCAAACTGCTGACTGAGATTAGCAAACACTATACTACCAGAGTTCCTTAAGGTCAGCAGTTGTTGTTGTTAAATGCCATCGAGTCGATTCCGACTCATAACGACTTTGTATAGGGTTTCCAAGGAGCAGCTGGTGAGCTTGAACCACCGACCTTGCAGTTCAAATGACTTTGCAGTCTGATGCATTAGCCCACAGCGCCACACCCCTCGCAGTTTTTGGACCAGAATAGCTCCTGCTATTCAAGAAACTTAAGAGGTGATTATGGAAGGGATGTGATGGCCGAGTTCATGGCCCTAGATCAGCCTCCTTATCTATGTTGAGGGCACTCAATGCAGAAGTAGTTCATGGGGGCCCTTGGTGGAGTTGGTTTCAGTGTTTGTTGGAACCACAAAGCACTTGGGGGCAGAGGGGGACTGGTTAAATTCTGGTCCGATGACTGAGTTTTGTGGGTCTGGATCCTGATATGGCACACCAAAGTGGCACAGCTGGCCCCATCTCATGCTGGCTTGGCTCCTGAGTACATGCAGCCAAATTCTTGAGGAACAGGGTCTGCGCTGGGAATGGATGAGAGTCACAGCTGGCCACATGCTGTTGATCAGGGGATGGGAGGGAAAAAGAAGAAATCACACCTTTTCTGTTACCTGCTAGAATCTGTTCTGCCGGGCTTCTGTCCATTACCAAAGTTTCCCACAAGATGGTTGAGCTGCGTCTGGCCAGCTATTCACCACTCAGTCTCCCTCCCACTATCCCACCTTGGCCTCTCTTTCCGACAAGCACTCCATCCACTTCTCTAACCTTTCTTCTGAAGTTCTGGGTGCCAGAAGTTTCATCTGTGACTGTTTTATTTGGTCTGTCTGCCTAGTTCTCCCATCTTAGTTTTTAATTTAAAGCATCTTATTAGTGTCAGTAATAAGGAGCTCTGGTAGCGTAGTGTTTACGAATCGGGCTGCTAACCTCAGGATCAGCAGTTTGAAAACTACCAGCTGTTCTGTGGGAGAAAGATGAGGCTTTCTGCTCCTGTAAAGATTTACATCCTCGGAAATCCTCTACAGGTTTCGCTATGAGTTGGAACCGAGTCCACAGCACAGAACAACAACATTATTGTCAGTAATATGTACTGCGTGCAATGTTGGATTACGTAATTTACAGATGTTCAATGTTACGGTTTATAAAGATGCTGGTAATGAAAACTTTTAAAATGAGGTATTCCGTTTATATCAGAACTGACTGACAGGGGAGTCATTGGACCAAAATGCTGTCATAAGTCAAGACTGCATGTATTTGTTAGCTCAGTATTAGACTATTTGAGAGCATTCTCGTTTAATCTATTCTTTGAAAGTAAATATTAAGGATGTACTGATGGCTTTGAAAATCGTATGTAGTATAGGGAATAGAGAAATGGTCAGAATTGTCACATGCACTACAATTGTTGAAAGTGTGATACCTGTGTTAGGTCATCTCAGATCTTTTACTAATGGCTGACAGCCCTCAAAACATATCTGCTTATCGAGACAAAATGATGTGTCGAATCATTGGTAGATCCCTTCATCCTTGTCAGTGTTTCATAGTTCTCCCCAGTTAGTTAGGACATGTGTTTATGTCCTTTCCTGCTGTGACTTGGTCTGGGTGTTTGTGTGTTGCCTAGAAGTCCTTGTTGATGAAAGGACAAGGAGGGTCTTTTTGCTTTTAAATTAAAAAAAATTAAAAGTTCCTAAATGTTCAGAGAAGTTCAATTTATAGAGACCCATTTGTTTGAATATATTTTCTTACATTTAGGTATAATTGAAGCGTGACACTCCATACAGAGATGTCAAAAACAAATAAATCCAAGTCTGGATCTCGCTCTTCTCGTTCAAGATCTGGATCAAGATCTCGGTCTCGTTCATTTTCAAAGTCTCGGTCTCGGAGTCGATCTGTGTCTCGTTCAAGGAAGCGCAGATTGAGGTAAGGGGGTCTGATTCTATATTGAGATAATTATTGCATCTGTTGGTATGGGTTTCTGAAGATCATTTGTTAGACTCTTTCTATACGTTTCAAATGAATCGGAGGGCTGGCCAGAGGTGGAGGGTTGGGCTGCAAGAGAAGACCCATGTCTCTGCAAACACTGCAAATTCAAATCAGCTGTGATTGCCATGCTTTTGTCTTAATTCCTTTTCTCCTCTGCCAGCACCTATTATTTCCCATCCACTTTGGAAGAAAGCATTTTATTTTTATTTGAGCTGCTTGCTTCAGATCTCTACACCTGATTATTTTTCAATGAAGTGGTTTTGGAGGCTTGGACCAAAGTTTATCTGCAACACCAGTGAAGAAATGGATAGCTGGAATGATTTAGTAGTGTGATCACCAAGGCAAGGGAGAGAAGCCTTCACCCATGAAAAATAATTAAACTCGACATAACTTCTCAGGAGTCATTTGTCTATACCCAATACTAACTAGCTACATCTATTTTATAAAACACACCTTTAAAATATCTAAAAATTACTGTTTTTGGCATCACTTTGTCTTAACTAAATGTGAAAATTATTCTTTTGAATTTACTGCCAAAATGCTTTAATTTAGTCAGTTTTCACACCTTTAGGTGGATTTCCCTATTTCAGTTATATCTTGGAATAGGATGTCAAACCTCCAGCGTCTTTCTTCTTTTGATATGTTGTGAGTTGGTTTTTAATTCTTTCAAAGTGTTTTAATTTTGTTTGTTGGCAGATAAGAACCTTTCAGTAGATAAGAATTTCCTATGTGAGTTTGGAAAATGTGATTGATGTATTTAAGTACTAAAAGGAGGAATCTTTGTATAATTTCACATTTGAATCAGAATTATACTAGACAGGGAGGTAATTTCTCAAGTTTTGCCACTTGGAATCCCTGCTCTTTTTTCAAATGAGTGTCTAGAATCCTTTTCCTAAATTAATTAATTATGAATGTAATTAATTGTTGTTGTTGAGTACCTTCAAGTCAGATCTGATTCATAGTGACCCTGTATAAAGGTTTCCAAGGAGCTGGTGGATTTGAACCACTGACCTTGTGGTTCAAACTTCCCTCACAGTACAGGACTTACCCTATATATAGCACCACATGAGGACTTCATGAATATATAATAGACTACAGGAAAAGTCACTAAGCCTGTAATGACTGGTGGGATTTTTGCTCTGTCAACAAAAACAGGCTAATTCTTAAATGGAAATAGAATCTTGAGAAACTTCCTTGAAAAACAATATCACACCAGAGGTTAAACCAAAAATAGCTGTACGTTGATGATTCTAATAGAGAACAGGGAATTTTTAAACTTAAGACTCTTTCTCTTTCATAAAAAATAACAACAACATAGATATTTTTAAGATAGCATTCCATTTGAGGATCACAAGTCCTAGATTTTCTGTTTTTTTTTTTTTGTGTGTGTATGCATTTTCGTACTAAACTTTAATTAAGCCCTAGGCCAGAGCCTGTCTATTGCCCAATTGTGTCAGATTTCATATAAGTAGAATTTTATCCTACGTCCTTAACTAAATGAGAATGGGGAAAACCCACCAAGTGTATTGACATCTATCGTAGGAAATTGCTCACAAGGCCACAGAATTAAGCAGAAACTCAGTAACTGCTACCTTGTACCCAGAGTCTTTTGATTTGGGTGGTTTAAATCTCATTTTTAGCTTATTTGGCTCTGAAAGTATTGTTTTAAAACTTAGTGTAGTAAATGGTTCAAAACCAACCAGAACTAAAAGACCAAGTTGAATAAACACGAACCAAATTGAAAAATATTAACTAACTAATATTTATGACAACCTCAAAGTCTGGACAGATCTTTCTGGGCCCATCTTTTCTCTGTTGTCTACAGATTATTTGGCATGGTCATTGGCTTGGCAAAAGAGAGAAAACAATCTTAGGCAGGCAGTATGTGCTGAGACAGGCCTAGAGCCATTTCATATGACAATTCATATCTAGCAGATTGTAATTTTGGAGGAAATTTCTCCAATAGAAAAATTGCTTTTATACTTGATTCTAGTCTGCTGGCTGTGTTTTTTAGAAACAGATAAAATTGCCAATGAATGTTCAATTTTTATTTCTGGCTTATCTGTTTCATGCTTTTTTTCTTTTTTTCCTCCCCTCTCCTACAAGGAAAGTATACTATCCAGAGAGTTTGAGATGCCATGCCTTTAAAAATTAACTAACTGCTGAGTTCTACAGATTTGGAAAAAATTGATTGTTTCCTTGTATTTCACAGACTATATCCTCTTAAGTGACTTCTCGTAAATAACTTCATTTACAATCAGCAGAGACTCACATTCCTGCATCAGTGCAATGACTGCGGGGTTTGGATGCAGTATGCCACAGGGCCCTCACTAGTAATTGATAACAGAAGCAGCAGCAGCCCCTGAGGATGGGAACATGAATTAAACCCTCCTTAGTGCTGGTGGTGGATCACCTCCTTCAAGTATAGCCTTTTAATCTGGTCACATTCAATCTCATAGCCTGCATCTGCCTCTCCTTTCTTCTTTTCTTACATTGTTGTTACTGTTTTCGAATGAAAAAGTGTGGAAGGTAAGTTCTTTTTAAATTGTACTTAAGTAGCAACCATTACAACCAGCTGTAAGATGTAGCAACGTAGGTATCCGTTGCTATTGTGCTTGGGGGTAAAGGGTAATGTGATAAAAAGTGGAAAATCTGCCTTGCTTTAGATTAAATTAAGTAATAAGTTTCTCTTTTAGTGTACTGTTTTGTTAGTTGTTGAGCCTATCACATTTGCCAAAAGGGGTTAGTTTTGAAAATAACAAAATTGCATCTGTTCCCAGTCAGGCCTGATCTGGAAGGCCTACCAATTAATGGGCTGATTTTTATTCTAGATGGCAAAGAAAATATTTCTGAAGAGTTTTCTGGTAAATGTTAGTATTTCTAGTCAACAACCTAGGAATAATGACTAATGTGAGTGATAAAAAAGCCATAGTGATAAGTTGATTCTAAGAACCCCAGTGGTTTTTTTCACTTCAACAAAGTAGCTTTCGGTTATTGGATAGAAAGGAATAAAGCTTTCTGTCATTGACTACATGAGCATGTAATTTTGACAGTTGGTTTACTGTTGAATCCCTGTGGTTCTAGAAATGTGTGTCATTAAATGAAGAGGAATGCAATGCTAGTCTGCAGGTGGACTTGAAAAATGTGTAGATTGGCCGGGAGGGACAGGGGACTCTGTCATATTTTTCTCTTAACCTATCTCATGCACTTGGGTGCCTTATGGTCAGATGATGCCCTCTTGTGGCACTTAAAGGTAAGACCTTGTAGTGCAACCATGGAAATTTGACCTTTTAAATTGTGAAACTATTTTCAGGTCCCCAGGTTGTTTTTTGTTTAAATCAGTATTTTTTTGTTTTGCTGATTCAAATCCAATTCTTTTATGCTTTGAAGACATGCGTTTCTTAAGTTACAATTTAAATATTATTTGATGTGGACCTGTTGTCACGACATTCTTAGTATGGACTAAGAAATTAGCCCTGCACAGAGAGGTCATTATGATAAGGAGTGGCATGGTCTAACAGTCTAGGAGCCGGAGGACCTGAATAGTTACCTATCTGCCTTCCATTTCTTCTTCACTTCAATGACTTGGGACCTGTAAAATCCTCTGTACCTGTGAAAACTCACTATATTAATTAAGCTCTCTTTGTTTAATTTGGTACATTAAGAACATTGTTGTATCCTTTTAGTCACTCTACTTTTAAGTGTGCTGCCATTTTAATGAAGTCATTTTATTGTTCATTATGTATTGATCCTCATCTATGTTTCTGTACTTCATACAGACCACAGACAGTGAGACTGAATGCTAATTTTTTTTATCTTTGCTTGGAAACAAAACTAGAAAAATACAAGAAACATGAGGGATTTCAGAATGTTACCGTTGTATGCAGGCTTTTCTTGAATAAAAATGCTTGGGTCAAAAAGTCAACTATTTTTCCCTTTCCCTCCCCTTTTCAGTTCTAGGTCTCGTTCCAGATCGTATTCTCCTGCTCATAACAGAGAAAGAAATCACCCGAGAGTATATCAGAATCGTGATTTCCGAGGCCACAACAGAGGCTATAGAAGGCCCTATTACTTCCGTGGGCGCAACAGAGGCTTTTATCCATGGGGCCAGTATAACAGAGGTGGTTATGGAAACTACCGCTCAAATTGGCAGAATTACCGGCAAGCCTACAGTCCTCGTCGGGGCCGTTCCCGATCCCGGTCTCCAAAAAGAAGGTCCCCTTCACCAAGATCCAGGAGCCATTCAAGAAACTCCGATAAGTCTTCCTCTGACAGGTCAAGGCGCTCCTCATCCTCTCGGTCATCTTCTAACCACAGCCGAGTTGAATCTTCTAAGCGCAAGTCCGCAAAGGAGAAGAAGTCCTCTTCCAAGGATAGTCGGCCATCTCAGGCTGCTGGGGATAACCAGGGTGATGAGGCCAAGGAGCAGACGTTCTCTGGAGGTACCTCGCAAGATACAAAAGGATCTGAGAGCTCGAAGCCATGGTCTGATACAACCTACGGCACTGGTTCTGCATCAAGGGCCTCGGCTGTTTCTGACCTGAGCCCCAGGGAGCGCAGTCCTGCTCTCAAAAGCCCTCTCCAGTCAGTTGTGGTGAGGCGGCGGTCACCCCGGCCTAGCCCTGTGCCAAAGCCTAGCCCTCCACTCTCCAACACATCCCAGATGGGCTCAACTCTCTCGAGTGGTGCTGGGTATCAGGCTGGGACTCACCAAGGTCAGTTCGACCATGGCTCTGGGTCCTTGAGTCCATCCAAAAAGAGCCCTGTGGGTAAGAGTCCGCCGGCCAGTGGCTCCACATATGGCTCATCTCAGAAGGAGGATTCTGTTGCTTCAGGAGGAGCAGCCTATACGAAGAGGCAAGTATCTGGTGTCCCCTGCCTAGTTGTACCTTTATTTATCTCACCAGCTTGGCAGTTTAATTGTAATGTGATCTAAGTTAGAATTCTGATTAATGATAATAAGGTAATTCTCATTTCCTAAACTTCATTAGCAAATTTTAAAGCATCACCCAAGGAAACCTTCAGCTTAACTCTAGCTTTCCTACCTTCCTGAATTTGTATTGCAGCATAAAGTTTCTTTAGACTACTCTGCAATGATGTTAAATATGAAAAACATTTAAAATTTGCCTTGGATTCTACCAATGTAAGCCAAAGAACAGTATAGATTTGTGGGTCAGCTATCAAAAAAAATATGATCTTTGCCAAAATGAGTGGCCATTGGAGCTGTTAGATCCTCTAGGACCCACCAGCTGCTGTGATCGATCTGCATCAATCAGCCCGCCATGGTGAAGAGCTGCACCCTGACACACCCTCCACTTGAGGAGACTGGGCAGACTGGGAAAATCCAAGGCTTAGTCCAGGAAGGCCTTGTTTTAAAACCACAAGGTGGGTGTGTATCCCAGTAGAAGCCAACCAGGCTCCATATTAGGAGAGAACATGCTCTGCTTCCTTCCATCTTTCTACCCTGGGGGACACGGTGAGTTGGAACATGAATCTTCGTGTGCGTGTGGATGGATGGATTGGGATGGCAGACAGGTTACAGGGAAGTTGCAGTGAAACCAAGTTGTGGTCAAGAGGGAATGACTAGGCAGGTGGTGTCCTTTCCTCCCCCCCCCCCCTTTTAAATTAGTATATTCTTTGATGACCTACTATCCTGTGATTTTTATTTTTCTCTTTATTAATGCAAGTATACCTTGCTTAGACTGTCTCCATTGATGTTACAAATGAAATGTTCAGAATCTTTCCAGCCTTTAGTAAGTTCACTTTAAAATTCAAGTTTTGTTCCTTGCTAGAGGTGTCACCTCCATGAAAGGCTCAAACTTTTCCATAAGAAATAGTATGCTGCTTTTTGCCCCTATAATTAACGTACATTTTGTGTGTTTTTTTATTTGTATTTGCAGTACATTTCATGTTTAGATCTTCTAGGTGACTTGCATCAAATTTGAAGTCTCTTTTGAGACTTGTGTTTCCAAATAATGTGTTGTATAAAGGCCAAACAGTCCAAGGTTGACCATTCTATGTTAACTTTGCTGAAAGCAGATTTTAAGTGACTGAGTGAAGGTTGGGTAAGACCTTAAATTATTTTTCCTAGACCACATTACAGGTAAGTAGGTTCAGTTTTGGGGGGTTCTGTTTTTGTCTTTAGTGCCCTTTTAAAAGTGACCATTGTTATTTCATTGCATAGGTAAGGTACAGCTCCATGGATTGTGAGAAGCTCATAGATCTGTGTATATTGGTTTTCCAGAAATTACTAGAACACAGGCAAATAAAAAGTCATCTGGTAACACTGATATCTACAACACATGTTCTGAGACTCAAAATCAGTGACATGGTGTTATTTTGGAGCACGTTGCTTAAGCCTCTTGTGTGTTTCCGTTGTGTTTTTGTAACTAGGTATTTAGATGAGCAGAAGACAGAGAATGGAAAAGATAAGGAACAGAAACAAAATACTGATAAAGAGAAAATGAAAGAAAAAGGGAGCTTCTCTGACACAGGCTTGGGTGATGCGAAAATGAAATCTGATCTATTTGCTCCCAAATCTGACACTGAGAAGCCTTTCCGGGGCAGTCAGTCTCCCAAAAGATACAAGCTTCGAGATGACTTTGAGAAGAAGATGGCTGACTTCCACAAGGATGAGATGGATGACCAAGATAAGGACAAATCTAAGGGAAGGAAGGAATCTGAGTTTGATGATGAACCCAAATTTATGTCGAAAGTCATAGCAGGAGCAAACAAAACCCAGGAGGAGGAGAAGTCGTCCAAATGGGAAGGCCTCGTGTATGCACCTCCAGGGAAGGAAAAGCAGAGGAAAACCGAGGAGCTGGAGGAGGAGTCTTTCTCAGAGAGATCCAAAAAGGAGGACCGAGGAGGGGCCAAGAGAAGCGAGACTGGCCACAGAGGATTTGTGCCAGAGAAGAACTTCCGAGTGACCGCATACAAAGCAGTCCATGAGAAAAGCTCATCACCTCCCCCCAGGAAGACCTCTGAGAGCCGTGACAAGCTGGGAGGCAAAGGAGACTTTTCCACAGGGAAGTCTTCCTTCTCTATTACTCGAGAGGCCCAGGTCAATGTCCGGATGGACTCTTTTGACGAGGACCTTGCTCGGTGAGATGTAGTCTTTGATCCTCAGAGGTATTAGTGGACTTTGTTATTGTTGTTATGTGCCGTGGAGTTGCTTACGTGTGCTAAAAGGGCACTCAGGAACTAAGATAGGCCCCTCATCGATTGCCCACTGTTGTTCATGTTTCAGGCCTGATACCTCATGGCCACCTGTTCTCAGTGGAGAGTGTGTCACTGGTGGTTGTGTGCTAGGGACAATATCACATAAAAGGGGAAGCTTCTTTTCAGTCTTCAGTGACTGGCTTTTGACCTCCTGGGTCTCTTGTTCTCTCTAGTCCAATGTCCAGCATCCCTACTTCATTCTGTTTGTTCTCAAATATGTTTAGCTTTTGCTTGTACTGCCTTCTGAATCCATTTCTTTATTCTTAGCTTATTCACCAAAGTCCATATTGTTGTACGGTGCTGCAAAGTAATGTGCTGGACTGCAAAGTTGGTTTGAACCTCAAAGGCTGGTGGTTCAAGCTCACCAGTTGCTCCTCGGAAATCCTATACAGGTTTGCTGTGAATCGGAACCAACTTGACAGGACTTAACAACAACAACAACCATCAGATAACGTATCAATTTGAGAATTGAGGAAGACTGATGTATGTGTTTCTCTCCCTCTCTGCATTGCACCTTTGGTAAAGAGTGATAAATCCCAGGCTGACCATTCTTTGCTTGGAATAACATTTGCCCAGCCTGTTAGAAGTCTGCCTGAGCATCATTCCAGCCACATCCTACTCCAGCTTCTTTGTGTCAGCTCACTGAATGGCCTTGGCTGGCCAAACTGGTTCACCTTTTATAAGGCCTTCCCATCTGCTGTGTTGTGTTACAACTACTGGTCACCCTAACACTGGAATCTCAGCTTTAGTACTTTGCCCCTCCTATTGGTTCTAATTAAAGATTCCCAGTGAGAAAAAGGAAAGGTATCGATAGATTTTTGATACCCTTTTTATTCATAGTTGTGGTGCATTGAGGTTCTCTTAAACTTACTTTTGCTGTTAAGTGCTGTTGAGTCAATTCTGATGCATAGCGACCCTGTATAGGGTTTCCATGGAGTGCCTGGTGGGTTTGAATCGCTGAACTTGAGGTTAGCAGTCCAGTGCCTCACCAGGATTCCTAATCTTACGCAGGAAGGGGAAAAAAAGCTTTATAATAATAGATTTTAAATTCTCTTTTTTTCATAGAGGTGTGTAATATTGCATTGTTTAGTTTAAATGCTCTTACTGATATATTTCTTGTTAACTGGGCCTTTGCTATGTTTCCTTTTCAGACCCAGTGGCTTATTGGCTCAGGAACGCAAGCTTTGTCGGGATTTAGTCCATAGCAACAAAAAGGAACAGGAATTTCGTTCCATTTTCCAGCACATACAGTCAGCTCAGTCTCAACGTAGCCCCTCAGAATTGTTTGCCCAGCATATAGTGACCATTGTTCACCATGTTAAAGGTGAGTCAAGCCTTCAGACTGCTTTGGCCTCCCCTTCCACACCCTTTGCTTTCTCTATTGCAAACAGAAGCATGAGCGCATGAATAGGGAGCCTTTGGAGGCCCCCCCATCTCATCGAATGGCCTTTGAAGCTAGTGGCTGGCTTCAGAGAAATTTCCAGGGAGAAGTCTTCATTTTTTAAATTTACAGAGCTGAGTATTTTGAAATGCTACTAACCTGTGATCATGAGAATAGGTAAAACCCTTAATATGAAGGGTTAAAAATACTAGAAAAATTAGGTGTGGAAAATAATTTTCCATCACCACTGGCTTTTCCTTTCCAATAGACAGGAGCAAATCTCTTCCATACCTTCTGGTATGAGTTTCTTCCCCATAGTCTACCATCCCTTGGACACAAACAGGTTGGTGAATGACTGTAATAAGTGATATAGAAGCTGTGTTGGATCAATTACAGGCTCCATCTCAAACTTAAAACAGGAGTTTGTGCTGTACTTTAAAGGGAAGCACGCTCCAAATTATCTGTGTGTGCATGTTTTAAGACAGTAGAAACTAGTACCCAACATTGGATTATGTCTAAACCAGCCTTTTCTCCTGCTTTCCAGTATGTTTGTTGTGTGGATTTGACCTCTTTAGTTAATTTCTTTGGTTGCAGGTTCATGTAAAAGACACATGCATCTTGTATCTGTCTTTGGTAAACAGCATGTATTGTGTGTTTCTTTGACTCCCTACAGAGCATCATTTTGGGTCCTCAGGAATGACGTTGCATGAACGCTTTACTAAATACCTAAAGAGAGGAACTGAGCAGGAGGCAGCTAAAAACAAGAAAAGCCCAGAGATACACAGGTGAGGAGATTCTCAATTTGAGATTGTAATCTAAGAGTTCACCTCAGATACTAATTTTTAACATCTTGTTTTTGCCATGTTGGGTACATGAATAGCAAAATTAGGGGAGCACCATCTAAACTGTAGGCATAGCTGAGAGTGGAAGTGGGAATATGCTTAAATAACAGTAATATCTCTTGTTTTGGGCCTGAGGAATACAACTCTCTTGTTAAAGATTAACTTTGTACATTTCTTTAAGCAAAACTTTGATTGAATACCATATTCTTCTCTTGGAAGAATTTGCAGCAGGGTTAGGGCTATGGAGAAGCAAGAGTTTAAAATGGATTTAAAGAATTGTGAAAGTCTACTCAGCAAATAGGAACTTAGTCTGAAACAAAATCTTAACCTTACATTCAATTCTTCAGTAGTCAATTCTTGAGCCTGTTGCAGTAGGTAGGAGGACCATGTTTGCTTAAGTCTTGAATTTGGGGTCTCTTGCAGTGTTAATACATGGCAGCCATTTTTTTCTCTAATTCCCAAGATGAAAACTGCTCTTTGAGGTTAGCAAAGCATAGAAATCTTGATATGATACTGAGATTATAGGCATGGCTGTGGGTTTGTCTTACCTTGCTGGGAGGGAACGTGATAGACATGCCTTTGGATTTGGCTAGATAGTTGGGAGTGTGTGGTGTGTTTATATATATATACTCCTGGTGTGGGTGCTGTAGGATCAGCACTGGACTGAGGTTCAAACCCACCAGCTGCTCCTTGGAAACCCTGTACAGGGTCGCTGTGAGTTGGAACCAACTCAGTGGCACTCATCTTTGCATTACAAAATATAAGGAATGGTCAGAATCCACTGTCCAACTTAAGAACTGTTACCAATACCATATTCACACAATGTAATATTACACAACTTTTGTGTTTTCAATTTTAGAAGGATAGACATTTCCCCCAGTACATTCAGAAAACATGGTTTGGCTCATGACGAGATGAAAAGTCCTCGAGAACCTGGCTACAAGGTGAACTGTTGCTTTGATCAGTAATTCCAACAAAATGAGTGCGTTGGGCATGAACTTGACAGAAATGTGTTTGTTTAAATTACTCTCTACTTAAGTTTGTGTTTTTCTTTTAAGGATGGGCATAATTCTAAAAATGAACTACAAAGGGTTAATTTTTATTAAATGTATCAACAACCTTTGTGAAGTGGTTAGAATATGGTAAAAATGACCCCAAAGTCTATTGAGGTGAGCTTGAGAAAAAAAAGAGAGGAATTTTGGAACAAGTGCCCATGATGAGAGAAGAAACTTTTTGTGATATTTTTCTGCTTGTAAGTATTATCAAATCAACTGTATACATGCGCTATTTCCAACCATGATTTCAAAAAGACATATGCATGTCAGAGGAGAGGGAAATATTCATTCTTAAATGAGTAGAGTGTCATAAGCAGCGAGTCCAGTTTTTTCCTAGCATTGTACCATATCTGTCATCTGTCGGTTATTGTTATTTTAAAGCTAAACATTACTTTGATAGCCCAACTACATTTGCAATGATGTGCACGTAAACACTGTTAGTTAAGCTTGTATGAAATAACTAGATTTGGTTTTTTTTTTAATCTGAGCTTTTTTTTTTCTTCTTTTTTTTTTTTTAACCTTCATTCACATATACAGTTGAAATTTAAATTAAGAGATGGTTGTTCCCATGCTGCTCTAAACTTTTAAAACAATTAATAGTTTCAAATTTTCTAAACAAATTCGTGGTGTTGGTTGAATGTGCTGATGAGGCACCCTTGCGCAGTCTGTCTCCAAGTAGTTACCATCCTGGCACTAACCATGTGAAGCCCAGGGTTTTGAAACATCAGAAGAAACCACATCCTCCATGCCTCAGAAAGCTAGCTCATCAGAGGTGCTGTCAGCACTGACCAAGGGAGTGGAAGGTTGCATTGGTCTTTCTGTTTTTTGTTCTTTTTCTTCCTTTGGAGGATGTAGAGACCCCATTCCCTCTCTCAAAAATAGTCATAACAAAACAGTAAACTTACCTTACTACCACTCCGACAGTTAAAACTAAGCTTTATGAACCAGAAGATTTGGTACAGAATGAACTGCTCCTTCCTTCCTCTTTTAGGGGAAGGATTTATTTCCATGAGAGAAGTCTTGAGTGTAAGATGTCCTTGACACCACTTGACATCTTGCTCTCATGGACCGCCTGATTACCCATGAGTGTTTGAAAGCCATTGCTGTGAGGTTTTGGAGTGGTATGCAACATACCCTTGTTGTTGAAAGTTAACAGATCTCATAAACTTCTATCTGGTCTCGCCACTTTATGAACATATTGTCATATATATATATATAAAATATATTCTCTAGAGAAGTTTCCCAGTAGAACTCAGAATTTTGGAAGACTGCGTAAGTCTCCCATTGTCTCTTTGGACTCAGTACTCAGAGATACTACCAGCTAGAAGATAAAGACCTGGGTGACTGCTACAGTGTAGGTAGGGTAAGGAGAATATCAGCAGTTCCGGGACAGTTTCCTCTCCTAATGGTGACCTGTTCCAGAGCTGACTTTGGCTTCCTTTAACTTATAGGCTAGCCAAAATCGTTGCTGGGCCAGAGGGGTACAGAGACAAAGTGAGATCACACTGTAGCCCTTTCAGAGGCTACCATCCTCATTATTTTAGACACTTGGCTTGGACTCTGTGAGGAGTCCTCATGCCGTGACTTCTGTGCAGTGGGACATTTACATCCCTGTCAAGTTTGGGTGAGGTGCCTCATACTCCCAGTGCTTCCTTTGTACCACCCACCCACCCCATTGGAGTAGAAACCACAGTGTGTGGGGTGGTTGAGTTGGCAGCCTTGAATCCCAAAAACCTTAATCTTGACTTCTTTTTTGGCAGGCTGAGGGAAAATACAAAGATGATCCTGTTGATCTCCGCCTTGATATTGAACGTCGTAAAAAACATAAAGAGAGAGATCTTAAACGAGGTAAATCAAGAGAATCAGTGGATTCCCGAGATTCAAGCCACTCAAGGGAAAGATCAGCTGAGAAAACAGAGAAAACTCACAAAGGATCAAAGAAGCAGAAGTACGTCAGCCCCTGTCTGTCACCCCATTAAAATTCTTGAGGGTCTCTTGTTTGCCCTTCTTGAGCAATATACCAGACCTTCTGGACCAGAGGTCTTTGGGATAGGAATTTGAGCGCATCTTGTGCCAATTCCTCCTTCATATAATGAAACTGTCAAGTAGGATACCCTATTTGAAAACAACTTCTACAGACAAGTAGAAGTGATCCTTGTACAAAGAAGGCCTCCTAGGAGATTGGTGGTTAATCTGGCTAAAGTGACGGTGTTACGAATCATTTGGGAATTTGTGATTGTTTCAGACATGGTCCTTGACATGTTCTTGTGCCTCATATATCTTCGTGGTGGGTGGGGGTGGTGGCATCATATTTTAGAAACGGCTCAAAGCCATTTTCAGATAATAACTGGTCAAATAAACAGGGTGGAACTAGGTGGACAATTTCCCAAATGATTCATAACACCATACCAGATTTAATGCCTTTTAAACTAGTTTTGACTCTAGTTCCAAGAGAAGTATTAAAATACTCATTTAAGAAAGGTGTTGTCCAGTGCTGTTGAGTCGGTTCCGACCCATAGCGACCCAGAATAGGGTTTCCGAGGAGCGGCTGGTGAAACCGCCAACCTTGTGGCTCAAAACGACTTTGTAGTCCAGCACATTAACCCACAGCGCTACACCAGGACTCCTTAACAAAGGTAGCATTGTTGGATTTTGTAGGGCAGTATTCATGCCAAGACCCTGATGTCTTTATTTACATTTTTGAAAGTTCCATAGCTTTTCAATTGTGCCTCATAGCAAAGTTGAAGTCCCACACCTTTCTGAAGAAGAAGCACTCCTGCTGTTCATGAAATTCATCTGGCAAACATCTTCATATCTATTTTCTGGTAACCCTTTGAGATCATTTGAGCCGCCCATTATGTCCATTTGACAGGTGAAGCTCAACTCAGAATGACTTGCTAAGATCACATCAACAACACTCAGATACTCTCTGCTGCATTGTCTTTGGTTCTATTGTATTAGCTATGCACTGGGAGCCCTAGCAGCTTTCAAGACTGTCCCTGGTCGACCGTCTTTCACAGGAAATGGAAGTAGTGGCATGTTGATCCTCAGGGCTGCCCCTTTAAGGAAGGGAGCAAAACCCTTGAGGACTTTCAGAGTTAGGCTTGGACACTTAACATGGTTCCTCTTCTTGGAACACAGAACTTTGACTTGCAGTGTGATCTTGAAGCAGTCTTGTTATATCTATCCCTAATTTTCTGTGGTCTTGTCATTAAAATACTGCACTACAGTTTATAAGAACACTTGCCCAAACGAGGGGGCTTCACAAAGCTCATGGAAAACTGGAATTGAAAAATAATGGTATTTCATTGAACTTTTTGAAGCCTCTTGTATAAGGGAAGAATCATTTATATAAGGTCAGGTCACATAGCTAGTAAGAGGGGATGCTAGGTCTCCCATATAGGGCATTTTCAGAGTCTTATTTTTGAAAACCTTGAAATAGCATTGGTTTTTAGTAGAGTCTGAGTGTAAGAATGCTGTAGCAACTTAAATTTCCCCCCCCATTTTTTACAAGTAGATTCAAAGGTTTGAGTTCTGGACGTTGTCTTACCTGCATGTGTGTATGTGTGTTTGGGGCTTCTTTTCATAGTGGAAAAGGACTAAGAGAAGGAAGGGCAACAGGTTGCTGGCACTTGACTAGCACCTCTGTGGGGCGATCCCTGCTCTGGGTACCCAAGCCTCTGCTACCTTAGAGGCAGGCCTTCATCACAAGCGCATGGCAGGGCCGGCCTCTAGTACAGAGACTATGACTCATCACATTAAACTCATTTGTCCTAGTCTGTAATTTCCCCTAGATGAAGGGAAGGCACATAACTCTGGGAAGAGTTTCTCCAGATCCTATGCTTAATAACACAACCTGTTTGGGGCTCAGTGGGAGGTGCTATGTGGACTCATGGTATAATTAGTTAGAGCTCAGTTTGAATCCAGGTTCTCCTTGACTCTGTCCCCTGAGTCTGCTGATCTATAAAATGAGGAAAATCATGCCCAATAATCATAGTTGCCATTTACTGCATACCTGTGATGGCAGTGTAGAATGTTTAAACACGCTGTTTATTTCATCTTTAGAGTAACCCTGTAAGATGGGGAGAGTGCCCCAGTGAATAGTATAAGTAATGTAAAGCGCTGACAGATGAGAGTACATAACAAAGCCTTTGGCACACTCCCAGATACACCAGTGCTCTCCATGTAGCACTGTCTGCTCTCTCCTAACTCATGCCTGTGTGTTGGGCAGGGCTACTAGCAGCTCAGTGTGAGTTGTTCTTACTTCTGTTCATATCCTGTGCCTGTTTCAGCCTCAGACATAGGTGTGTTGGTTAACACAACTGACAATTGGGGAGGAAGCTCCCAAGTGTGCCCTGGTTGGTATTTTAGATTACTCATCCTTAATTTTTTTTCATCACAGAGGTCCTCCTAGTTACCCTTTGCCTCTTAGGCTCTGAGACTATCGACTGACCTGGCCCTTCTGTGTTCTTAGGAAGCACCGGAGAGCACGAGACCGGTCCAGGTCCTCATCCTCTTCCTCCCAGTCGTCCCACTCCTACAAAGCCGAAGAGTACACTGAAGAGACGGAGGAGAGAGAGGAGAGCACTACGGGCTTTGACAAATCAAGACTGGGGACCAAAGAATTCGGGGGTCCAAGTGAAAGGGGAGGAGGCAGAGCTCGAGGGACCTTTGTAAGACCCTACCCTCTTCCCTTTCTTCATACCCTTTGTTGCCACCAATTCTGGTTATGTTTCACCAGAACACTGGATTCTTTCCTTTGATAGAAATAAGTAATAGACCCCAGACTCTGCGGTCCCTTTCCTACCCCTCAGCCTTTCCACTTAGAGATATTTTTTGGTCCATTAATCATTTAGTTAGAAAGGCTCTTGGATCTTGGAGCCTCTGGTCTCAGAGCCTTCCCCATGTATCCCCTGCTGCTTGTGGAGAAAGCCTTGGACCATGTTTAGGCTGTAGGCTTGAGTTGGGATGAATTGAAAGGAACTGCCTGGAAAACAATGCTAGAATGGTTTGAGAATGACCCACACATACTGGAGGACAGCTACAGCTACGCATTCTGGGCCAGATGTGTTTGAACAGAATGTAGGGAATTGTTGTCTTTATTCCTGACATGACTCTTTTTTCCCATTTATTGGCACAGCAGTTTCGGGCCAGAGGGAGAGGCTGGGGCAGAGGCAACTACTCTGGCAACAATAACAACAACAGCAACAATGATTTTCAAAAGAGAAACCGGGAAGAGGAGTGGGACCCAGAGTACACACCCAAAAGCAAGAAGTATTACTTGGTATGTGTTTGAGGATAACCAGGAAGGGCCAGAGGGCCTTTGGCACAAATAGTAGCTGATAGCAAAACCTTAATTGGTTTGGCCAAGACCGTGATTAAATATGTGTGCAGGCGTATTTGGGGACTGTATACAAGCCAGATGGGTACAGACTAGTGCTGGTTAGATGGGTGTTAGGCAGTATCAACCTGGAGAGTCTTAGCACAGAAGGTGATATGGATTCCAAAGATAAAAAAGAAGTGTTGCTTTTGTCTGTAACTACTCTGTAACTTATTTAACTACTCCCAACCTCAGCCTCCTCTAGTGTCTTCCTACTAGAGAGCCACAGTCCTTCCGCTGAATCCACAGTTCACGCTCATTCCCAGTGCTAGGTTGACAGTGAGGAAAGTCACTCAGAAGCTATTCCTGAGAAAAGGGTTTCTCTTATCCAAGTTAATTGTTTCCAAGCCCCTCTGGGCCTGTCTTTCCTGCTCTCAGATTGGGTCTCTTCTAGCCTGGATCTAACCTAGTCAGTGAGTGATCTGTCATGCTTCGTAAACAGCAGGCTCAAATCCAAGCACATGTGGTTTTGGCTTTTGTAACCAGGTAGACTTGCAGCTTCATCTTCGTCACCCCTCGGAAGGGTGTGAGTATATGTAGTCAGTTGTTTAGCAAGGAAACATGTTGTGTGGATGACTGTGTATAGCCACTTGGCTTTTCTAGACCTGCTGTTTGTTGGCAGTGAAGCTCCAAGTAAACCCTTGATCCTATCTCTAGGGAAACTAATTGGCTGGGCCCAGGACAAGTGCTGAATGGAGTAGGGCTGCTATAGCCACAAGGATAAAAGCCATACAAGACCCACCCCCTTCCCACCTGAAACAAAGAGCATTGTCAACCTGGTTCACTTAGCTGTCCCGTCCCCAGGAGCCTAAGGCCTTAGGCTGGTTGAGTGGGTGGGATATAGGTGAGGTAACAGTGACTTTTAGTTCTCAGTATGCTTTCTCCTATTCTTTCATTGGACTCCCTTCTATCCCATGAGATCATCAGAGCAGGTATTGTTTGAAATGTAGTGTGTTTTTCCTACTCTGTCATTACTCTCTCTCCTTACATAAACCCTAGAGAGGACAGACACAAGATTGGGGATTGGGTTCTGGTCCTGCCTCAGCTACTAGCTAGTTTGAGACCCTAATTTGACCTGTTTTTGACTAGGACTGGGAGTGGGTCCGGAAGAACTTCCTCAGCTACCCAGATAAAGGCAGTTTCATGTTTCTGTGTTATCGACATTCTCAAACACATCCTTTGAGAGATGGCATTCACATGAACTTCATTTGCTTAGTTGGGGGTGCAGGTAATGACAGGTAATGAGGTGGACGAGGCATGTAAAAGTCTTAAATTCAGTGCTCAGGGAAGGTTTATTTATCATCATTTGTAAGTCCAGAAAGGCCCCCCAACTCAATACGCTCTTTACTCAGAACCAGTGGTGCTTTTGGAGTGAGGGCCGGAGAGAAATGTAGGAGTAAAAGACTGGTTGGGGCACAGGTTATTTTGGGAAAGGGACAGTTGAGTGGGTGCTGGAGAAGAGGGCTTCTGGCACTGATAGCAATTTTCTCTCTTCTCAGCATGATGACCGCGAAGGTGAAGGCAGCGAGAAGTGGGTGAGCCGGGGCCGGGGCCGAGGAGCCTTTCCCCGAGGTCGAGGCCGGTTCATGTTCCGGAAATCCAGCACCAGCCCCAAATGGGCCCATGACAAATTCAGTGGGGAGGAAGGGGAGATTGAAGATGACGAGAGTGGGACAGAGAACCGAGAAGAGAAGGACAACTTACAGCCCACAACAGAATAAGGACCAGTGATTGGAGCCCCTGCCCAAGGGAGCGGCGCTGGGAAGATGGCTGGTAGGAGCTGAACAGGAGCTTCGTAAAGATCCGATGGAAAATACCCACCCACCCACCCACCCACCACCAGCCTGGCAGATTCCTACTACAGCCAAAAGCATCCCTGGCGCTGCACCCCACTGGACAGAGGATGCTGGTCTAGGAGCCTGCGGTTAGGTCCAGCTCTTGAGCAGAACACAACCCATTGGGCTTTAGCTGTGTTTCTCAGTTCTTGTTGGTGTGTAGGGTGGGGATTGGGGTGGGGAGGGGAGAGCGATGCTTGGGTTTCAGTTTGTTCCCTATTAGAAAACCAACAGTTCTTCATTTCATTTGGAATAATTTGATTATTTTCTATTTCTTCTCCCACTTTCCTGACTTTAAAAGCCCCCCCCCTTTTTTTTTTAGACATATGTAGTAATATTAGCATTAAAAAAGATTTAATTTGGGCAACTTTGATTCTTAAAACAGAAAACAAAGCATGTGAATAAACATTGAAGTGTTCACCTCAGTTGGGACCAAACTGCTTGGATCTTTGTAAAAACTGATTTTGTATGTCTTGGAGGAGTTCAAGGTCTTTATGACTGCCTTGTGTTTGTTCCCCTTTTCTGCACAGCCACTTGATGACTGTTCCTGACTACCCTCCCCACCCCCACCCCACATGCAGCCTTCCGTCTTTACTGATTTCTTCTCGGCTAGACTGCCCATCCTCCAGCAGCAGTTCAAATACCCTCAACTTTCTAATCTTGTTGAGACTGCTCAGCAACTGGGCGGAAACTGGAGGGCGGTTTCTGGTCTGTTTTCTAAAAACTTCTGAATTCTATTATCTCTACAAATACAAGAAAATAATTTTTCAATATTTTTTATTAATCTTTTTATAAAGAAACTCCTGTGATTAAGGAAGGTGGTCTTGGTTGGGTAGTTTGTGGGTTTATTTGATTTTTTTTTTTTTTAAAGCTTTAAGTTGAAACATTCTCAGATGTTTTTTGGGGGCATCCTCTTAGAATGGGTCCTGTGCTTGCCTTCTGGGGAGGCGGTCCTGAGCAGGTGAACCATATGGCATTTATGCATATGTTATATGCGGACTGCACCCACCCCTTACCCCCAGCCTTTGCCTCTTGGATTGTTGTGCTACTTTCCCTTACTTTGCTACGTTCTATAGTTAAGTTGGTTTTACTTGAATGATTCATGTTTATGGGGGGGTGTGTGTAAAAAAATGCCCTTAAAATTTGTTTCAACTCCTCCTGCAATTAAAAAAAATAAATGAAGTGGCAGATGTACGTGCGGGGTCTGGTCATTGTCACTCCATGTGAAGATGTGTGGGTGTGGTGAGGGGGTGGGTATCTATCTCTCCACAGCTGTCTCAGGCAACCTGTTTGTGATTCCCTGGGAGGAGTTACGTCTATCCCTTTGTGGGCCAATCATTTCTCATTCCCACTACAGTGCTTGTGCTCCTTGGATTGCAGGAGAACCATTCGATTTTCTCACTGTGGCATCATAGGCAAAGACTTTGGCTTCCCTGGTGTTGGGGCAGGGGACACGGGGTGTGGATAACATGGCTCAGACCTTTGAACTCCCAACTAAGCAGGAAGATTACCTGTAAGCTAGCCTAACCTACATGATCCTGGCCCCAGGTGGACCCTAACCTTTGGACCCTTGCCAGCCCTGGGCTTGGCAGTGAGCTGTAAAATTCTTTGTACCTGCCTCCCCCAAGAAGAATCTGGAGAGTCGATGCCCCTGTGGTCCAGAAGACCAGATCTTAGCAGTGTGTACAGGCACCAGAGAGGGAGGGGGATATGCTTTAACAGGGCTTGGAACATACCACCAATTGTGTCGTGGAGTCAATTCTGACTCATAGTTACTGTATAGGGTTTCCGAGGAGCAGCTGGTGTGTTTGAACCACAGTCCACAGTCCGATGTGTATCCTACAGTGCCATTTGTTAACTACCTTGAGTAGTAGTAGCTCAGCTGCTTCCTATGTAAGAGTTTTCCAGGAGCGACTGGGGTGCTTGAACCACCGACTTTGCAGTTAGCAGTCCATTGCTTACCCTATAGTGCCATACCAGGACTTAACAGGGCCATTGTTCAGTGCCCTGTTCGGTTCGGACCCATAGCAACCCTGTATATGCTTTTCAAGGAGCAGCTGGTAGTTGAACTGCAGGCCTTGCATTACAAACCAACCTTGCTTATCCTACGACACCACACCAGGAGTAATGGACAGATCCATAGCTGTGTACACCCTCACCCTGACTAGGGTTAGCGCAGTTGCTGCCTACTGGGAGCCCCACCCTGGTATGTGCCTCTCCACACCTCTTCCCCTGCAGGTAAAACCTTGCAGAGCTAAGAGGAGGATGGGCCCGAGAAGGCACTGCAAATAGTGGGTGGGTGCCTTGGGGCTAAGATCCACTAGGAGAAGTGGAGAGACAGGAATTTAGGTGACTGAGCGGGAAGAGTTTGGACAAGGTGTGACCCCCAGCGCGGGCCAGAGACCTCAGAGGCTTTCTCACCCCCACGTTGGGGGCCGAACCTGCTAAGCCGGGCCGCCCCCTCTTCCACACCCACTCCCAGCACCTAGAACCCGACCTATCGGCTTTAGTCCCCGCCTCCTTTGCTTCACCTTCTCGCCGCCCGTCCCACCCTGCCCAGCCCCAGTTCTCCACCAGCAGTGGGACTGCGCTGCCCGGATCCGGAGGGCGCCCTGAAGCCATGGGTATGTGTCGAAAGGTCTGAGTGGCTTCTCTGCCTCCGTATGGACATGGTAACAAAAAGCCACCACCAACACCCCACTCGCCCGCCGTCCTCTACCCGGAGCCCGGGACTCTAGACGACTGGGCCCCGCTGAGCCGCGCTCCCGCTTCATCCTCCCGCAGAGGTCCTGGTTCTATATGGATACCGCGCACAGAAAGACGACGAGTTGAACCTGGCGCCCGGTGATGTGGTCCGGCAGGTGCGCCGGGGGCCCTCGCGGGGCTGGCTGCGAGGAGAGCTGGGTGGCCGCTGCGGCCTCTTCCCCGAGCGCCTGGTGCAGGTAAGGCGGCGCCAGAAGGGCGCCGAGGGAATCAGTGCGCTGCCCGGGAGCTGAGCGCCTCCCTCCCGCCTGTCCTCATCCCTAGGAGATTCCTGAGAACCTGCGGGGCGCCGTGGAGGCGCCAAGACCGCGCTGCGTGCGCAGCCGAGGTAAGCGTAGGGGCTGGCGGGCTAGCACGCAGAGCCTTTAGCACCAGAGCCACCGGGGTCCCACGGCGGCCGGGCGCGGCTCTCGGAGGGGCCGCGGGGCCGCGCTGGAGCCTGTGATTGGCTCTCAAGTACAATGCTCCGCCACGGGGCGGGGCCTGGACGCACTCTTGTGTGTGCTGGCTGCCTGCCCCTCCCCCCAGCTCAGCGGACTAGGGCTCCCGGCGGCGGCTATCACAATCTCCTCCGACATCAGGTCACCCCGCCAAATCTCGGGGCGCCCAAAGATGGTGCAAAGTGAACTTCAACTACAGCCCAGAGCAGGCGGACGAGCTGCAACTGCAAGCTGGGGAGATGGTGGAAGTGTTAAAGGAGGTGAGGGGATGAGGTGTTAATAGGGCTCCAGAGATAATGGAGTAAGCCTCCTGAGTGAGAGAGGTGATGGATGAAGGGAGGGTCTGGGCGATGAGAATGATGAGGGGTGCAAAGATGGAGAAGTGAGAAAGCAAGAGAGGAGGGGGTCCTCAGATAGAATCGGAGCATCAGGGGATGTCAGAGTTTGAGAGATCCTTGGGGCAGAACCAGATACCCCTGCGTCCTCCCCTCCTCCCCAGATTGAGGACGGCTGGTGGCTGGGGCAGAAGAACGGGCAATTGGGAGCCTTCCCATCCAACTTTGTGGAGTTGCTGGACAGTGGGCCCCCAAGTGAGAACCTTCATCCTGTCACCCCGTGAACCCTGTGACCAGACAGTCTGCAGTTGCCAGTGACCCTCCCAGAGGCCTGAGCCTGTCACCCACACAACCTGACCCTCCACCCCTTTGATCCTCTCATAATCTAACCTGTAAATTTGCACACCCTACCTAACCTTACCACCTACCTAATTTTACCACCCTACCTAGCCAGAGCACTGGTGTGGCACTGCAGGAGAATGTGCTAGACCGCAGGTCAGTTTGAGCCACAAGGTCAGCAGTTCAAACCCACCAGTCGCTCCTCAGAAACCCTATAAAAGGTCTCTACAAGTTGAAAACGACTTGACGACACTTAACAACACCACCTAATCTATCCATTCCAGGCCTTGATAACCCAGACGTGCCTTCCATCAGCTCTTCTCCCCAGCGGCCTCCCAAGGTAAATTGGGTCAGGGTGCACATAGATGTAGATGAATGTAGATATGGCACATTCCCTTAGTAGGCTGGTTGGAGGCCCAGCTTGTTCCTCCCTCTCCCTGCCCCTACTAGCTGAGCAGTCTGACCTATGACAGCCCTCCAGAGTACCTTCGGACAGGTGAGCATGAAGCCAAAGGGTCACTGGGCTTCCCTCCCCTACCCCAAAACCACACCAACTGAAGGGGACACCAGTTAGGCTACTGGGGGAGGGAGCTGCTGGCTACTGGAGGGTTGTTGACTTGAGTGGACTGACCTCCCCTCAGTCTCCTACCCTGAGACCTACAGGGTCCTGTTTGACTACCAACCCGAGGCCCCAGACGAGTTGGAGCTGCGGAGGGGGGACGTGGTGAAAGTACTGAGGAAGGTGTGAAAGGAATAGGGCAGGGGAGGGCCCAGGGAAGGGGGTGGGTGCTGAAAAGGGTGGTGCCCAGATGAGAACTTGGAGGACCTGGCTCACCTTTGCACCCTCATCTTTCTCTTTTAGACCACAGCGGATGCGGGCTGGTGGGAAGGAGAGTCTCAAGGCAGGAGAGGAGTTTTTCCAGACAATTTTGTTCTTCCACCACCCCCAGTGAGTACAGAACCCCATACTCAGGTAGCACGTGCCAGGCTACTGTGGACAAAGCTGCAGGGGTGCTTTCTGGGCACTGCAGGAGGGACATGAAACTCCCTTGAGAAAGTCAGGGGTTTACAGTGCTCCTTGAGCCCACTTGGAGGATCACCCCAAGACGAGCTGTTGTCAAGTGCTACCCATAGCAACCCTGTATAAGGTTTCCAAGGAGTTTGAATGGAAATGGATGGCTAGCTGTCCCCTAAAAGTGTGGAGTTGCTGGACAGTGAGACCTTCATCCTGTCACCCCATGAACCCTGTGACCAGACAGACTGCAGTTGCCAGTGACTCTCCCAGAGGCCTGACCCTCCACCCCTTTGATCCTTTCATAATCTAACTTGTAAATTTGTGCACCCTGCTTAACCTTACCACCTACCTAACTTTACCACCCTACCTAACCGGAGTCCTGGTGTGGCACTGCAGGAGAATGATCAGGGTACCTCATCAGATTCTGATTCTTTCTGCATAGATCAAGAGGCTGGTCCCGCGGAAAGTGGTATCTCGGGAATCAGGTGGGTGCCAGGGAAGCCTGGATTGGGAGGTGCTCACTGGGAGACCCACCAAGCTCAGTTACCCATAAACACCCATAGATCCCCCACCATCTAGTTCACCATCACCCCTATAGGAGCTCCCTCCCCTGTGTGTCAAGGGCCTGGTAGAAATGTACATGAGTCAATGTGTGTGAATATGTCAATGTGGGGCTGGTATAGCTTCATGTTTTCTGTGCGTGACTTTAGAATGTGGCTGTCAACAGATAATGTATGTATCTGTTTCATTTTTGTGAGGAAATCTATGGATCTATATCTCTCTGTAAGGAGCTCTGGTAGTGTAGTGGTTACGAACCAGGCTGAGAACCTTAAGGTCAGCAGTTTGAAACTACCAGCTGTTCCACGGGAGAAAGATGAGACTTTCTGCTCCCGTAAAGAGTTACAGCCTCGGAAACCCTGTACAGGGTCGTTATGAGTCAGTTCCGACTCCACGGCACATAACCACCACCACCATATCTCTGTGTATATGAGACTGTAGATTCATGTGTCTTAATGTGTGTGTCATCCCATAGTTCTTTATATGTATCCAGGGGGTCTGTAGGGATGTGTGTTTTTTAATTTATATTTTAATATGATGTTTGAAACATGCCAAAAATACACAGATGTGTCATAGAACTTAACAATGAACCCCTATGTTTTACCACCCAAGTCAAGAACTAGAACACTAATAATAGTTTGGCTGTTCCTTCCCTTTTCCATTCAGTGACTTCTCCCACCCTGAAAGTAACCAGAATTTTGTGTTTTAACTCCCTTTAGTTTTATTTATTTATTTTTAAAACATATGTGTGTGCCTACAAAAGAAATCACTTATTTATATATTGATTTGCTTGTTTTTAAACTTTAATATTAAAGTGTTATTATACTGTAGATAGTCTTCTGGGAATTGTTCAATCAACATTATAGCTAAGATTGATCCGTATTCTTGTATATAGCTGTAGTTCATCTATTGTTCCTGTTTTATATACTTTTCCTTGTAGGGGATGTCCTTCAATTTATGTGTCTGTTTTCCTGATAGGATGCACATTGTAGTTACAGTTTTTTGGTATCTCAAATAGTATTTCCATTAGTGTTTATGTGTGTGTCTACTGGTGTTCAGGCACAGGCAAACTTCGTTTTACTGTACATCACAGATGTTGCCTTTTTTTCAAATTGAAGGTTTGTATTAACTCTGCATCAATGAAGTTAATATTACTAACTTCAATATTATTATTCAGTTTCATTCATCCAACAGCATGTGCGCACTTCATGTTTGTCTGTCACAGTTTGGAAAGTCTCACGTTAGTTCCAGTTTTTTCCTAATACCCCTCGTCTGTCAGTTTGTTGTACTGTGGTGACTTGTGTGTTGTTGTGATCCTGAAAGCCATGCCACTGTTTTTGTCAATATCAGCAGGGTCACCTATGGTGAACACATTTCAGTGGTGCTTCCAGACTAAGACAGACTAGGAAGAACAAGAGGCAGACCTCTTCTAAATGGTTAGCCACTAAAAACCTTATGAATAACAGCAGACAGTTGTCAGATAGAATGCTGGAAGATGAGTCTGTCTTGTTGGAAGGCACTCAAAATACACCTGGGGAAGAACTGCCTCCTCAAAGTAGAGTTGAATGATGTGGATGGAGTTAAGCTTTTCAGAACCTCCATTGGCTGATGAGTACAGCTCAAGTAAGAACACTAGCTGCAAACATAGGTTAATAACTGAACGTGAAATATAGTTCACGTCCAGTGCAGGAATCTAGGAAAATTAGAAGTCAAAATGAAATGAAACACATAAAGATTGATATCACTAATATCCATTAGTGAGCTGAAGTGAATTGGTATTGGCTCTTTAAAATCGGACAATCATATGATTTACTATGCTGAGAACGACAAATTAAAGAAGGGCATAGCAGTCTTTGTCAGAAAGCAATTTCAAAATCTATCATGAAGTACAATGCTGTCTGTGATAGGATAATAGGAGTCCTAGTGTGGCATTATGGATTAATGCGCTGGAATGCAAAGTTGGCTTGAACAGCAAGGTCGGCAGTTCAAGCTCACCAGCTGCTCCTTAGAAATCCTATAAAGGGTTGCTATGGTCAGAACAGACTCTATAGCACTTAACAACAACAAGGAACACCAGCTAACAATATCACTATTATTCAAATTTATGCACCAACCACTAAAACCAGTGATGATAAAATTGAAGATTTCTACCAAGGAGCTCTGGTAGCTTAGTGGTTACGAATCGGGCTGTTAACCTCAAGGTTGGCTGTTCAAAACTACCAGCGGTTCCGCGGGAGAAAGATGAGGCAGTCTGCTCCCATAAAGATTTACAGCCTTGGAAACCCTGTGTAAAGTCACTATGAGTCAAAACCGACTCCACGGTACTTAACAACAACCAAGGAGCTCTGGTAGCTTAGTTGTTACGAATCGGGCTGCTAACCTCAAGGCCAGCAGTTCGAAACTACCAGCTGTTCTGTGGGAGAAAGATGAGGCTTTCAGCTCCCGTAAATATTTACGGCCTTGAAAAACCTGTGCTGGGTCACTATGAGTTGGAACCAACTCCACGGTACTTAACAACAACAAAACCAACTTCTTCAGTCTGAAACGGATCAAATGTGCCATCAGCATCATTACTAATGATTGAAATGTGAAGGTTGGAAACAAAGAGGAAGGATCTGTAGTTGGCCTTGAGGATAAAAATTATGTTGGTAATCACAAGATAGAATTTTGTAAGACCAACAACTTATTAATTGCAAATGCCTTTTTTAAACAACATAAAAGGCAACTATACACATGGACTTCACCAGATGGCATACAGGAATCAAATTGACAACATCTGTGGAAAGAGACGGTGGTGAATCTCAACATCATCAGCCAAAACAAGACGAGGGACTGACTGTAACACACCATCAATTGCTCATTTGCAAGTTCAGGGTTGAAGTTGAAGAAAAGTGAAACAAATTCACTAAGCTAAAATAAGACCTTGAATATAGCCCACCTGTTTGAGATAATCTCAAGAGTAGATTTGATGCACCAGACACTAATGACTGAAGACTGGAAGAGCTGCGGGGTGACATTAAGAACATCTTCCAAGAAAAACGCCAAAGGTCATTAAAAAAACGGGAAGGAAAAAAAAAAAAAAGGTCAAAAGAGACTCTGAAATGTGCTCTAGAATTTAGAGAAGCTAAAACAACCGGATGAAATGATGAAGTGAAAGAGCTGAACAGAAAATTTCAAAGGACAGCTCCTGAAGACAGCTTAAAGTATTATAATGAAATGTTCGAAGAACTGGAGTTAGAAAACCAAAAAGGTTTAGAAAGCACACTCAGCATTTCTCAAGCTGAAAGAACTGAAATAAAATTCTAACCTCGAGGTGCTGTATTGAAGGATTCTTTGGGCAAAATGGATTCCTGGTGTGGCATTGTAGAAGTATTGGACTGAAAGGTCATTTGGACTGCAAGGTTGGCAGTTCGAATTCATCAGCTGCTCCTTGGAAACCCTATACAGGGTGGCCATGAGTCAGAACTGACTCAAGAGCATTTAATAACAACAAATAGGCAAGCATTAAAAGAATATGGAAGGAATACATGGAATCACTGTACCAAAAAGAATTGGCTGGTATTCAGATATTTCAAGAAGTAGCATGTATCAAAGACCGATGATATTGAAGGAAGAAGTCCAAGCTGCGCTGAAGTCATTGGAGAAAAACAAGGCTCCAGGAAATGATAGAAGACAAATGTTTCAACAAACTGACTCATTGCTGGAGGTGCTCACTCATCTATGCCAAGAAATTTGAAAGAAAATTAACCTGGCCAACCAATTGGAAAAGATCCATGTTTGTGCTCATTCCAAAGAAAAGGTGACCTAATGAAATGTGAAAACCATCCAGCAGTATCATTACTATTACATGCAACTAAAGTTTTACTGCAGATAATTAAAAAATGGTTACAGCAATTGTGTAAAGTGACAGGGGAACTGCCAGAAATCCAACCAGCATTTAGAAGAGGATGTGGAATGAGAGGTATTGTTGCTGACGTCAGATGGATCTTGACTGCAAGCAGAGAATACCAGAAAGATGTTTATTTGTGCTGTATTGACTATGCAAAAGCATTCGACTGTGTGGATCATAAAAAACTATAGATAACATTGCAAAGACTGGGTATTCCAGAACATTTAATTGTGCTCATGTGGAACTTGTGCGTACACCAAAAGGCAGTCATTAGAGCAGAAGAGCAGGATGCTGAATGCTTTAAAATCAGGAATAGTGTGAACCATGTTTAATGTCTATAAAGGAGCACATTATCCGGATTATATAAAAAATAACGTGGTATCATGATTGGAGGAGAACTCATTAATAACCTAGGATATGCACATGACAAAACTTCCTTGCTGAAAGTGAAGAGGACTTGAGCTCCTTACTGATGAAGATCAAAGATTACAGCATCCAGTATGGGTTGCACATCAATGTAAAGAAAACGAAAACCCTCACAACTGGACCAATAAATAGCATCCATGATAAATGGAGAAAAGATTGAAGTTGTCAAAGACTTCCATTTTGCTTGGATCCACAATCAGAAGTCTTGGATGCAGAAGTCAGGAAATCAAAAGACTTATTGAATTAGGTAAATCTGCTGCGGAAAGCCTCTCTAAAGTGTTTAAGAGCAAAAATGTCAGTTTGAGGACTAAGTTGCCCCTCACCCAGGGGGTGGTATTTTAATCACCTCTTGTGCGTGTGAAAGTTGGACAGTGAATAATGAAAATTGGAAAAGAATGCTTTTGAGTTGTGTTGACAAAGAATATTGAAAGTACCATGGACTGCCCGAAGAACAAACAAATCTGTGTTGGGAGAAGTATAGCAAGAATGCTCCTTAGAAGGGAGTGAAGATGGTGAAACTTGGTCTCTCATACTTTGGACATATTATCAGGAGGGCCCAGTTCCTGGAGAAGGGACATCATGCTTAGAAAAAATGGCGGGTCATCAGAAAAG